CACTAGTAAAAAATGTTAAGATAAAAATATTAATAATATTAAGTTAGATTAAACGATTAGGTCAAGTTAAAATGTATCGTCCCGGATTTCTTTTAATTTAATCTGACCACCCTATGCTACGGAACAAAGCCACTCCCATGCGCACAACTAGGCCACCGAATAATTTTTAGCGGTTTTTAGTAATTTTTCGGTGGTTTTTCCCGTGGCATTAAATAACTATTGATAAAATCTAAAAATGACCTCTTTAAAGTACCATCTTGATAAAATTCGCTAAAAGATAAGGTACCTACTATATGTTGAAACCAAAGCACTACTTCTGGTAGAAATTGTGTACACCTACAGGATATAAAAAAAAATAAAAATAAACACCATTGTAAAACCACTAGCTTCCTCACTCCGTTCAGAATTTAAAACTACGATTTCATTTCAATATAGTTATTTTGTTGCTTCACAATATTAAAATATACGTATAAACATATACCAGCCAATTATAGTATTTTTCTGTTGGTACTTATATAATTAAAAATAATGTAATTTTATGCATTTTGTAATGCTTTTTTAACAAAAAAAATATCAGTGGCTGTAAGATTGAAGGCACACCGGCTTATCTTGCCACGAGCATTGTAAATCCTATAGTTAAGCCACTGAGTCTGCAACATCGATAAAATAGTATATTATATGGTGCTTAGTAGTGGAGGGTTAATCCTACATTACAATTTTACTTAAATATAGCTACTATTCGGCCTCATGCAATCCTATACATTTTCTGAACGTATTTGCATAATGAATGACCATTAAACGTTACAATTAAATACCCATTCTATAAGTACGCATCACTGCAACATCGTTGTAGTTTAATTGTTTATTATTGATTATAAATTAGGTATAATTGATTGTTGATATGTGTAGACATCCGATGTAGTATAAATAGTAGGTAGGTAAGTACCTAAAATAGCATCACTGCATTAAATAAAATCCCACTAGACGTTATAGATAGGGACTGACACTCCATCTCTGCTCAGAATCATTTTTTGTATGCTATGCCACAATTTTTATCATTGAATTCAAACACATATATACATTACATTACCTACCCAATGGTGAGGACCCGAGGTTTAAATGTACGCAAATATAGGTAGTCGTATAGTCTTATACTAATAGCTGAGCGACTTCCCCGGTTTTTATATACAGAATCATTTTTATATTTTATATTTTCTGGGAAGAGGACTTTATATTATTTAAAAAGAAAGAAACCACATCTACTAAAACTACCTACTACTTTCTGTAAATCTTTATAAACGTTTACAACAAACTCAATATTTTTTCTAATCGTCTAACAATTTTTAACTTTTCTATGTCAGACATTGTCTTAAGAAAATGTATTATGTACCTAATATAGTTAATACATTTAAAAAAAAAAATAATTTACCTATATAAAAAAAAATTGAGTTTCATTTCATAATGGTGTGAATGTAAATATGATAAATAATTATAGATGTCGCACGAATTAAGTTTACATCAATGAATAGGTATAGGTCATAGGTGTAAACCACTGTATACTTGACTAATTATTGGTACGCTCATATATACTCTATCTCACACACACAATATGTATAGGACCGAAATGTATTGTCCACAGTAAATCGTTACAGCTACTTGAAAAATCATGCGACGTCGACGTATTTCGAAATATTTAATATAATGTAACGACGCAGTTTATGTCCAGCCATTAGCCTTCTAGGTAATTTTATGGGGTGACACATCTCCATTAGTAGTAATTTTTTTTTTTTTTGGTCAGACAATGAGTGTGTTGAGATTATTTATTTACCTTCGTTTCTCATAATTTCTATTATTCTAGTCTGGCGCTACTGTAATACACAGACCACCACACATTATTATTATTATTATTATTATTATTATACGTAAAGATGACTGGTCGGGACGCTACTAGTTTTTTGTAGCTCGCTATCGCTATCGCTACTTTTCTTTAAAATATGTAGCGCGCTACTTTTTCGCTACGTTTTTAAAAATGTTCTTATTGAAAACTAGTGTTTGTACTTTTGTAGTTTGTACTGATTTGACATTTGGTTACTGGACTATTTCGTAATAAAATAAAATTGCAATCGTTAATTACTGTCAACAAATGTATTTATATGTAAATATATATTATTCGATGGAAGTAGGTAAATCTATTTTATTAAACTTTTCATGAATTTATTTTTTATGTATTTTAGGTACCTATGGTGTTACAGTATACATATAAACATTAAAGTATTTAACATATTATAAAGTTACATTTTATAGTTGCATACCTATTATTTATACAAAAAAACGAAATTAATAATTATTGGGTTATTTTATTTTTATGTTTTTTAAATAAAACGTCCCTATATTATAAATTTATAACGTTCCACTTCCACACCTGCAGTTCGTCAAAACGCACAAATGAAACAATAATAATATTAACATTTGATTGTTTTTATTCAACTTAAAGACGATTTTGAACGTACCTAAACCTAAATATAAGACGATATTGTAAATCATAAATTTGCCACGGTTGACAGTAAACGGCTATTTCGCTTATGACGAGGTGGTTTTATGTATACAACACCGTAATGTACTATACAATATAGTATACATAAAGTATAATATTCTGGGTATATATATAATATATACGGTCAGTTTGTTATTTAACGCCTGTACACAAACAGGGTGTTTTCACGAACAAAATAATAAATGCATGGTTGGATAATAAATCTGCGGTACCGCATACATGGTAAAACACCCTGTATCATATGTGGATTGTGGATATTATATGCGTGTAGAAAATAAAAAGAATCTATCGGTATTCACTCAGGGGCCCGACGCGACTCGTATTATTATTATTATTACTATTATATGTATTATATTAAATATACCTTTTTCATACTGTTCTGACCCGGCACCGACACGTTCCGAATGAATGTTGACTGGTGAGTATTATATATATTATTTTCTTATTATCATTATTATTATTATTATTATTATTATTGTGTGTACGGTTCCTGGTGTGTGTGTGTGTGTGTGTGTGTGTGTGTATGCGCGCGCCCGCGCGCTCTTGTATTGTGATCGCAGGGATGTGTGTATGTTCGCGCAGTTCAGCTCTTTTAGCTAAGCCCACCGTACGCGTTGTAAGAGTTTAGTTATAGTCCGACAGTGCGCCGAGTAAGCCACGAGAACGTACCTGTAATATAATATGCTCAAATATAATATTATAATACCTATTATATTTTATATTTTATTTAATGTATAATATATTGCAATATCGTATCCGTCGTATTGTATCCTGCACCTGTCGTAGTTGTTGGTATTTTTAAGTAATTATTATCATAATTATTTTAAATTGTTATTTACCTCGTATTTCTCTACCACTTGTCGCGTTTCGTTTGTGGTTTTTTTCGATTAGATCGTTTTGGTTTCTTTCTTTTTTAAAATAGTTCGTTCCGTTTCTTTTTTCCCGCGTTCGTTACGTTGTTTGCTACAATGATAATATTGTGATACTACAACTTTCTGCGGACACATACTCATAGGTACCTATTCACAATACAGTGCATCAAGACCATCGAAGATTTGCGCAGGTACTTTATAAATTGTCATAATTATTTATTACTTAATGATGATTCCAATTTTTTTTAATATAACAACTGTCACTCCATTTTTATGTTTGAAAAACCGCTTCTATAATTCCAGTTTTAATTTCCACTAGGTATATAAAAATAAAGGAAATTCAGTGATTTGTATTTGCTCATACGTAACTGAAGTTTAAAGCAATATTAAAAGAAACATTATAATGGCTATATAGTGGCTACTACGACGATTTTACTTAAGAGGACTCCACACGGGAATTTGTTGTCTCCGCCTTAAAAACTTACTTTCATGGTAAATTTTACGTTCTCAATAACACATTTTACTCTGTGATTTCTGAACTTAGAGTGAATTTAAATCTTATGAATTTTAAAGGTTATCTATATATAAGATTATTTATATTATCTAGTAGGGAATATCGAAGGATTTTATTGATATTAATATTTTTAAGTAAGTTATGATACTTTTAAAATATACATACAATTTACGGTTTAAAAATGGTCATAACTTGTCTTCTTAATCTAGGGCTGACGGTATTTTTCGGTACCTATACAGGTATTTTAAAATTATTTTGGTAAACGGTATACCTTAGAAAACCGTTTAAACGGTAGGTATACCTTAAAACCCGAATGAACGGTAGGTACCTATGCCGTAAAACCTGACTAAACGGTACACCGTAAAAAAACGTAAAATATGTATCAACCATGACTAACGGATGGTGATAGCCGAAAGGTAGGGACAATTAAAAAAATTCCACATATAAAAGATACATTCGACAACACACAGGTTTTCAAACGTTTCCATTGGAGACAACAAATGCCCGAGTGGCGTAACTCTTATATAAGTTATAGACCCAAATAAACAATGAAAATATTGTTGCTTATTTGTTTGAAATGTTTGGATTGATCGTATATTCGTATCGCGAAGTGGTGAAAGTTTCAAAGCCATTATTTCTTGCTTACGATGACAATATATTAATTAATAGAAGGTAGGTAGGTTATAGAAAAAAAAACTAGGATGGATCCTCCAGATACTCTATAATAAAGTAGGTATAAGTCTACAATGTACAGTACATGCATATTGCATACCTATCAATAAATATTATACATACATATGTTGCATGAATAATAGTCATCTTGATGTATTTTATGTCTATTGAAAATATCCCGCGACGAGACCACAAATTGTATCCTTTTTCCAATTATACTATAAAAATTAAACGCATGACCTATAATACCTATATAATAATATTATATACACTTATTCTGGTTACAGACATGAGCTCAAGGTGATTGATGCACACGGGCTACGGCAACAGCAGTCGGTAGATTGAAGTATTGAACAACCCGGAGGAGAATGACACATCAATTACCATCATGAACTTTCATTCAGTTGCTGAGCTATTACCATGGATGTTATTGTTATTTTCTTTGACCGGCTTCGCGTCTCCCGTTCCAAACAAGGTGAGCTCCACTATTTTTCCTTTTCCACGGCGCTCAAAATAAATCTGTTTAGTGTTAACCCGAAAACAATGCAGTATTATAAATTATAATATATATTAGCAAGACTTCGGAAATCGTTAAGTACAAATATATTTGTAATCAGACATCCAGATTTATAATAAGATTATTTAATGTATTGATGGGTATACTATATATTATATTCGTTTAGATATTTATAATAAAGCAGGGCTTTGCACCGAAATTATTTTTTCGGGTTTCGGGTGTTCAAAGAAAATTCGGGTTATTGAATTCGGGTGTTACGGGTTAATACATTTTTCTAAATACGGTTAAATTCAAATTTATTCTGGTTAATTATGGTTGATTCAGGTGTTAAAAAACAAATGTTGTACATCAATTAATATGAGATTTTCAATAAAAATTTGATATAGTAATCTGATTTTATATTTGAAGTAAACATAATGAAAAAAATAAAATAAAATAAAATATTAATACTTATTAGTTATTAGTTATTAGTTTATTGCTTATTACTATAAGTACTTACTCAGTCCTTTTTCTACAGAAAAAAGTTGTCGCTTATTACATATTTTAATTTTTAACTCGTATTTTCGTTGTATTTATTTTTGATTAAGAATGTTAGACAACACAATTACTATTGTCTATTATTGAATATTGTGAAATAAAATAAAACAATCATCTAGCATCAAGGTCTTTTTTAATATTTAATTAATTACAAAAAAAAAATTGAGTTATCTGTTACACACTTATACTACTATCTTCTTATCGTCTTAGTCGCGTTAGTTGCAAAAATTACATACAAATTTATATGACACTTAATTTGCAATAAGTCGGGTTTCCAGTAAACCTGAAAGGAAATTCGAATAAATAAAATATAATTGTATAAAACTATGCAAATTAATATTAATTAAAAAAATTTCAAACAGCATAATACTTTATATATAATACTATTATACTAAATTATATTATATAATACTGTTATTAAAATAATTAAATTTATAATATTTTAATAATTCATAAGTAAACGAATTTCTCACCACAAAATATTGGCGCTCCTAAAATACTGGCGCCCGGGACAGTTGTACCCAGCGCCCCTCCCTAAATGCGACGCTGATTACATGAAATATGTAGGTATGTAAATATGTTATCACTATTCATCCATGACCATGTAAGTAGGTATAATATATTATAAATTACAAATATGATGTAAATATTCGCTCGAAGTACCTACTTGATATTTATAAATATGGCACTAGGCTAGTAAGGTAATGTCATATTACGGGGGATGTATCATTTGGGCTAAATGTTAATTATACTAAATTTATAAAATATATAGAATTTTATATTATACTTATATTTATAAAATTAATTAAAATTCCTTTCTTTGTGTTTATTATGGTTAAATGAACGGACGTTTCTCCAGCCCCCTCAACTTCGAAAATGTTCATCAAAACATTACAAGGGGTTTGTAAGTCGTTTGTAAAGTTGTGTATAAACAAAATTTTCGTTTTTAAAGGAAACCAAAGAAAGTTGACTTCAAACCACCACTTATTTTTTGGAACCTAGTTTTCCGAATTGGGAACCTCGTACCTCGTAAACCGGGAAATATTTTTTTCGATTGGTTTGGTAGCCACCCTCCCACTTTGTAGTATCAACATCAAACCTTCACCAAATTTTATCAACCTACTTAAAAAATGCAACCTTTTTTTACCAACTTTATCAGGCAACAAGTTGAACTTTACCAACAGTTGGTAAAGAGTTACTCTTATTTATTTAATCAAGATTTTTTTATTGGAACAGATTTTTAAAATAATATATAATTTTTTATTCAACTACTTATTTTATTCAGTGAAGAATTTTTATTCTACTTAGATATTATAATAAATACAGATTTTTTATACATTAAATTTCAATAAAAAAAGCTATATTCACTAAAAAAAATTGAATAAAACAAATCTAATTAAAATGGAACACATTTATATAGTAATGAACAAATGTTAATGAAAAAAATATATTCAATAAAATAATCTTTTTTTTTGCAATTTGAAACCGACGACGCCGCGGAAATTGCTTTCGCATTACTTCCGCGGCGCTCAATAAAATAATCTATATTCAATAAAAGTATTCCTTTTTTAATACAAAAATCTATGTATAATAAAATAAATCTTGATTGAATATCAAAAAAATTATCTGAGAATATCTATAAATAGATAAAAAATAATTATGAAAAATCTAGGTATATTTGATAAATCAATTTAAAAAAATCTAACTTAACATTTTTATAGTCGAATTAAATTAAAACTTGGGTTTTATTCATATTACATTTTTTTTAATTAGTTTTTTTTCTTAAAAATGGTTTTTTAATTCAAACTTTATTTTTTAATTTAAAAAAAGTATATATTCCTAGTTATTGAATAAAATTGTAATTTGATAAATTTAAATTTAAATAAACAATCTTATTTGAATAAAAACTGATATATCAATAAAAAATGTAATATGAATAAAAGCAAAGTTTAAAAAAATATAATTCGAATAAAAATATAATTAGAAAAAAAAATGTTTAATGAATATAAAATATTCTTCGAATAAAAAAACCTAGATGAATAAAAAATCCGTATTTTATAAAAAAAAACTTAATTCGACTAAAAAAATTTCAAGTTAAATTTTTTTCTTCAACTAGGATTTTTTATCCGATAAAGATTTTCTTTATAAAGTAAAGATTTTATATTTAATAAAAAAAAACTAATTTAAATTAAAAAGCCTAGTTGAAACAATAAACAATAAATTATTTTTATATAATTAATAAAACCTAAATAGGAAAAAATCCTAGTTGTATAAAAAATCTATATTTAAAAAATATTTAAGTTAAATAAAAAGAGCCAAGTTGAATAAAATCCTTATTAATAAAAAATCTATACTCCCAAACAATTTAATTTAAATAAATAATTAAAAATATTATCTTTTATAATTCATGCAAAATTTTTATTCAACTAGCAATCATTTTAAATTTGCCCTCATTATGGAGAAATGACCGTGTTAAATGAAATATCATGACAAAATTAAATCATAAATCAAAATCGTAAATACTCCAAAGTAAACGTACTTCGTTAAACTGACGAGCGCAGACTTATGAGTTTTGACTATAACATTATTATATAAACACAACTAACTACGCGTTTAACTCACACCACTCCAAAAAAAAAATAAAATACTTACCTACATGATATTTTTTCGTCCATTAAAATAATATTCTACATTTCTAAATAATATAATATAGATCATAAGATAAGATGTATAATTTACGAAAAAACAGTTTTCGTCAGAATCCTATACCTACAATCGAATCCGTTTGCAGGACGTTATCTAAATAAATTTTCAATGATTTAGCGGTGCCACATAATACGTAGGTACTAGGTACTCGGTATTTGGATCCTTCCGTCCTGCCGTACAACCCACATATTATTATTATTATTACTATATAAATATAATATAAGTGTTGATACTATTATTATATACGTTTATTGGATGTTGCCGCCGTTCTTCCGTTAGCCTTTTTGGTATAGCTGGTAGGTACCTACATATTATATTATAATAATAGTGTCTCCACTACATGGACGTTGGCCACCACATTATATGTGTGTTTAAAACGAAGACGAAATGCGGTGGCGAGTAAAATTACAATGAAAACCTTTGAAAACCTGTGTGTTGTCGTATGTATCACAAACCATATAACCTTGAAAAAAAAATTACAACCATACGCGCGTGCGCGCACATACACGCACATGTATATACAGTATTTATATACACCTATTATAATATTTATATACGTTTATAATATTATTGCGCTCGAAGAGATTATCCAAATCGGTCGAAGATGAAAAAAAGAACACATTATACATTTTTTATACATAAATAGGTATACGGTTAGGGCTGACGGTATTGAAAATAATTTCGGTATTACGGTATTGATTTAAATACCGGTTTTTACAGTATACCTACCGTTTGGACGGTTTTTTACGGTGTACCGTTCATTCAGTTTTTTTACGGTATACCGTTTACCAAAATAATTTTAAAATACCGGTATTTACCGTGTACTGAAAATACCGGTATTGCCCGATTGCTGCCCGAATTCAGGTAGTTGTTTTTTATCCCAAATATAAGTATCCCGATTGCGCCCATAGACACATTGGTTCACAAAATACCTTATAATTAATGTATATATAATAATATGTTTAATCACCAAATAATAAAGTTTTTCAAAATTATTATGAAACAAGTATAAAGTATAAAATTTATTTAAATACATGGCAAGTATATTTTGTATTTTAAATACTTTCTGAATGGATGTATTTGTATACAATTTTAAAAGTATATAGGTATGTATACAAATAGTCAAATATTAAAATAATAAATTGTTTACAATAAAAAAAAGGTGGGCAAGTGGGTGTCGCTCTGCTGTACAGTAGGTTACAAGTGGGTCACTGTATAATGGATGGTATTAAATTTGAATTCAATGATATAATATCATTGTATAAGAAAAACGATTCTGAGCGGTGATGGTATGTCAGTCTATGTATAAGGCATATTATATACATATCTATGGTATTAAACAAAAAATTGACCTATAATAGGTACCTATAATAAATTCCAAATTAATCATATCACAATATCCATTAGATACTTATAACGCGTTATACATCAACAAAAACCGTGATACTATCATAGATATATAATAGTACACTTTAGAAGTTTCAAGTACCCACGAATAGTATTATTCAATCACAACAAAATAACTAAAATCGTAATTCTTGGTTTAAATATGAAATTTTGTCTAAATTTGAAATTAAAATGTCTGTAAAAAATAAGTGTGTTTATATATTTTTTAGATTTTTTGGTTACAGTATGAATTATTTAAGAGAATCTTTGTTTTAAATTTTCAACTCTTAGTTATAAAAACTGAACATTTTATAATTTTTTAATTCCAA